ATATTTGAGCTCGGATTGGTGATGCTTTTGCTTTCAATGAACATGACTGAAAATAAAAATCTCACTCGGACATCTGCAAATAAAGAGAATCACAAGCAAACAGTGAAACAAGAATATTCATTTTATTGGTAAGAATAATCATTAACACTTTTCCCTTTATATTTACCCAGGTCTCAAAGAGACAGCACCTTTTATACAAGAAAAGATATCTGACGTGTGGACAGGTCTGTGGTCAGTTTAAAACATTCCTTCAGGAGCATTCTACTCCAGAACTGTCACAGACTGATCAATGGTCTTATATGTCTACCATATAAAGAGAAGTGCTCTTATGTTTAACCCTTTTGATGCTGGATATATCAAGCTCTCCCTAAGCACACATTTGTTTGGCAGTCTGGAGGATGTCAGCAGACTAAAGATTAGTGAGCTAAAGATAGCACAGAATTGGAACGTAAGTCTGCCCTAAAGTTTTTTTTCCCAAAATCTGATCTTCATTGTGTAAAGCATTTCCTATCCCCATAAGTGATAAATGAGACCAAGCTATCCAAAGGTCTGTTCTCCTTGAGACCTTCCTAGGAGCTCAGTGCATTTGTAGTATGTCCCAAATTTTGTAGTTGGGAGAGGGAAGAAGACACTCTAAAGAGCATGCTGTCCTGGGGTACAGTCAATAATGTCTCCCCAGTAGGCCTGTTACCTACAACTAATTGTGGGTTTGGATAGCCAATTCTTAAAGCTATGTGTATTTTTCCAAAGTGGACTCTCTCTCTTCAAACTTCTTCATCACCCCACCATTTTTCCCAGCACTCTTCTCCACTGTTCTACCTGATGTAACAATCTGATCGGAAGATATGATATTTACTCCTAGTTGCTAATCCTTCCAGAGAAGGTTTTGTCTTTTAAACCCTTTCTTGTCCCAGAAGGGAAATAAATACAATTATTATTGATGGAGCTGGTAGCACTGACAGTTATTAAGGTTGCCCAACATTTCCCTTTACAAGACCATTTTCAGCTGCTTATAACTTTGCCAAACTTTACTTGTTTGGGCTGAAATTTCCTATTCCTGGTGTCTGCCTCAGGCTGACTTCTTCTGGAATATTTCAGCCAAAACAGTGCAGCTGTTTCCAAGAACAAGGCTGGGGAAAACTATGTTGTTTTACAATTTTAAAAATACTCTGGCAGCCTTTTCTTTGAAAAGCTCTAGCTCCCCCATACTTTGAAGCAGGGACTTCAACTTTGGCAGGGGTGGCTTATGTCATCCCACAGAAAATCTGCCCAAATATGGCCAAGTTTTAAGCCTTTTAAAAATCACATTCACACATGTTCAGCAGAGACATTTTTAGAGACCCTGCTCTAGGAATTAATATAGAAGCGTAGAGTAGGAGGTTGTGGTGTGTAGAATCCTGCTTCATTCATTGCAGAAATTGGAAGGTGTATAGTGAATGAGACAGGAGATTGCAGAAAGAGAAAGGATAGGCTCATTGTTAAGACAGCTGAATTGGATTCTATCCCTGTCTTTGCCAGAGAGTTACTGTGTGATGCTGGGTCAGTTACCAAACCTTTCACAGGTGGTCACTACTTATATTTTTCTCATTTTCTGGGTGCCTGATTTGAAACCCCGGAACCAGACGCGCAGAATCACTGAGAGCTCACAGCTGTCTCTAAAGTCAATGGAAGCTGTGCTTTGAACATCTACAGTGCTATATAATGCAAAATACTCTGAAAAATCAGATCCTAAGCATCTCTGTTAGGCACCTTAATCTTGTTGTACCTCAGTTCCTTCTCTGAAAAACAGAGAAAATAATATCCTGTGACCTCACAGGGGTGTGTGAAAATAAACACATTAACATTTGCGATGCACTCACATATGCTGGTGATGAACACCATAGGACATTAATCGTTCTGTATTCAGAGCAGGGTTTGAATAACATGCAGCTAATCAGGCCTAAAGCCACACATTGAAAAATAAAGAGAAAACAAATGATTGACTAGCTACACTTTACCAGATGCACTGAAAGAGGCAGGGGTCTTGTGGAAAAAAATAGCATGTGATCATGTAATTAAAGACTGAATACACACAAGAGGACCAAATTAAGATTGCACAGGCAACCTTCATTCTGGCATTTCCTAACTTGGAGTGCTTGGCTTTGCAACCTTGATAATATTTTTATTTTTTAAACCCGTATTTGGTTTTGCATGGGTGAAATATAGCATAAAAGCCCAAACTCACAAAAAGGGGAAGTCCTTTCAGCTAGCAGTTTGAAGATTGATCCATTCCTAGTAGCTGATTTCCTCTGACCTACAGGCTCCAGGAAGCCTAACAGACCACAGCTGTTTCTGGGCCTTGCTGGTTAACCCTTGCCTTTCCATTACTGAGCTCCACAGCTTTGTGACCCAGTCATGTCCAGGAGCTGCAATCTGCCATACACCACATCCATCTAACCCACCTGCTTTCCCTTGTTCGTTGTCCTCTTCAGCCACAGAAAGCTCTAATCCCCATCTCCACATTGGGGCATGCTCTTTCTGGTGTTCCCAACAACACTGAGTCTGTTTCTGCAGCACTTGCAAATGGGTCAGAACTCCCCAGGCCTTGCTGACTGGCAAAAATGGGAGCTGTAATTCACAACTAGTGACGAGTAGCAACAAGGGTGGAGGCTCTAATGCAGATGGAGCTGATGAACGTTGATGACCGGTAGAGGTCAAAAGGTCTAAACTCTGTCCACACTATAGCTTGTACTGTCGTCACCATTAGAGCTGCACTGTTTGGCACCAGTAACTCTAGGTCCCATTTTTGCCAGTGCAGACATGGCCCTAGTGACAAGTGTGACAGATATTGCAACCCCATGCAGTATTTTTGGGGAGCATGGTATTAAACTTATGAACGGTTATGTGTGATTGCGTTCTACTCTCGGGGGGAGGGTTACCACAGCTCTTACAGGAATTAAAACAGAAGGGGGTGACTGCCCCTGACATTGTATTCCACCCTGGGGTGATTTGCATATACTGGTTCAGGCTGGGTTTTCCAGATACTTGGAAGCAATATATAAAATGCTGAGCTTGGCCTGACTAGTGGTCTTCATTTTGATTCAGCAAATGGACACGACTGTCCGTCCAAGGGGAAGCTCCAACTCTCGCTGAAGGGTTGGAAGGGATGGTGGTCTATCAGACTTCCCAGGTGGATCATGGGTGATTTCTGGTATGTTTAGTATGGGTCTAAATCTGTTTATTGTTTTTATAAGTTTTCTCTGTAATGCTTTTGCCCTGTTAATCAAGGCGCTTGCTTTGAAAGAGCTGTGGGATAACGGGTGATGGCAGGCAATACGCTGGTCATAGCCAGGGCCGGCTCTATGTTTTTTGCCGCCCCAAGATTTGAGAGCACAACTGCCCAAGCAAAAAAAAAGCCACCCCTGGAATTGTGCCACCCCAAGCATGTGCTTGCTTTGCTGGTGCCTAGAGCTGGTCCTGGTCATAGCCCTTGGAGAAAAAGCAATTCACAGCTGCTAGCCATTAGGCAGACTGGCTTGCTGCAAATATCACAGTGTAAGGCCGGGGGCTGTGCAGCATTATAATCCCCTGGTCAGAAGGGAGGGGGACAGGAGTTCCTGTCCAGAGACAGGTGACATGAGAATTCAGAGGGGGGAATACACATACTGTACCCCTGAAAATGTGAAGACAAATACTGGAGCACTGCCTTTGCTCTACTCTTTCTTATTCACAAAACAGGACAGATATATTTAACTGCACATCCTCTTAGGCTGATGGGAGCAGACTCGCAGCTCCTAAGATCTGATTTCATTTCTCTGCTTCTGTGCCTGGGGCTCCTGCATTTATATCTAAAATCAACCTTAAATAAGTTCTCTGATTTCATGTGCCTAAAATAAAAATGCCATTTTAATCATTAACAATGATTAAATTAATTGGTGCTTTGTATCTTGCTTTCTTTTATCACTCACTACCACTTCCTGGGTTCTCAAACTGACTCTGTCCCTTGGGATGCTAAACAAAGTCATTATAATCACAGCATCACTTTCTTTCATAATCCTGCCTTCCTGTTTTTCATCACCACTCATAAAAATAAAATTGATTCTGTTATGTGCACAGCACAGCCAGTTCATAGTGCAAAGCTTTTTAATAAATGATAATAATGGGCTGTCCTATAGTGTCTTTCAGCCAAGGATATAAAAGCCTTTTCTAGTCATTAATCAATCAGGACTTCCCAGTTGCCAGCTTTGGGTGGTAGGCGTTATTTATCTCCATTGTACTAATGTGTAAACTGAGGCACACAGGGGTTGCATCACATGACTTGCCCAACCCTACTCAGCAAGTCAGTGGTAACCAGGACCAGGAATAGAGTCTCCAGTAGGTACAATTGAGGGACAAGGGGAGATTATAAACTACTCTGGGGGCCAAAACAGCCTCTGGCATAAGTTAGAGCAGTCACTGGTTGCTGTAAGTTACAGTAGCCCATCATAGGCTTCCTATGGGCTGCAGTGTAGGCATGTCCGCGATGGTGCCATTCCAAGCCCCCCTGTGCTGCGGAGGAAACATAGTGCCATTTAGGGACTGAGGAGTATGTCCCTGGCCCCTTATAGTGCCTTTACAGTCTTTGTGTGTTGCCAGAATAGCATCCAGGGGCCAGGGTGGGGGAACAGAATGGGTGTCCAGGAGCCCTTAACTCCCAGTCACCTGCTTGGACCACTAGCAGACATTGCCTTTTAAAAACACCTAGTCCAGCATTAACCCCAACGTGCTGAATGAAGAGCAGCAGCAAAGGGAGTTACTGTCATTCTTCTGTGTATAGAAGACTGTGACTGCAAAGTAGGGGGTATTTAAAGCTGGGTAAAAGCTGGGAACAGGGGAAATCACTTTATCAGCACTGGTAGGGCTGTGATGAAGACCCCCAAAGTGTATTTTTGATGTATTTAAGGGGTGCTGGGATGCTCTTTTTTTGGTTGTCCAGGCTGTTGGTGTGATGTGTATCTAAAATATTGTTCTTGTCATACTAGATTTTGGGCAAAACTCAGTGAGGACTCATGGCTGAATGTCACAACCTCAGAAAGGAGGGGAGAACTGGCCACCTCATTGCAAGAAAGTCTACACGATAAGTCTGCTTCTTGACTGGACGAATAACTGGCTGGACTCCAGATGCACTAGCTTGCTGTACAAAGGATGGATTCCAGGTTCCCACTTCTACCACCACAACAATGAAAAAGCTTAACATGCACTGTTCAGGAAGAACAAAAAAACCAAACCAGCCCTCTTTCCTGCCCCAACAAAGTCCAAAACACAGACAACTCCTCTTCCCCACCTTCCAGGCACAGGTGTCACAGCAGTTGCAGATGTGACAAATACTGGATACCTGCCTGTTTCCCCCGATGTAGATCTAGTGGGCAGTAAAAGACTTCTAACAAACATTGGATTTGAGCCCTTTTTTGCTTTTTTACGGTATATAAAGAAGGCCTGAAATGATTTCACCCTCAGCCTCTTACATTAGAAATACCAGACTGGTCCCCCCTGGGTAGGCAGGAGGACCTCTCAGGGCTCTCAGAGATGTTCATTATCTACTCTCCCACCTTAATGGACGGGGATTGGGGGCAGTGCTGAATCTAATAATGCCATCCTTACACGCAAATGTTCATTAAATATGGGAGTTAAATAGATGTGAAAAAACAAGTAATGAACTAATCCCGCTCATTACACAAGTAGGCCAATCAAAAATCTCTTCCCCTTGCATTTGCTCAGCCTCTTGTGAGGTCAGAATTTCACTAGTTCTCCAGTCACCATAGAGTCTTGCAGCCAAAATTAAACAGACCCCCCCAGAAACCTTCCTTTCAGGCATTCTGTTAAATGTTAGTTATTTCTTTTACCCGAACACCATGTTCTTTATATATAGATTAGATGCTTACTTGTTCTTTCCTACCTTGCTTTATTCCTTGCAAACTATGTTCCTGATCTAACCCTAGTGGGTTACTGGTGAGGGGAGGCTGATGACTGCAGCAACAAGGAACAGAAGATGAGCAGGTTGGTAGGTTCCCCTTCTTCAAAGCTTGATTCAGTCATATCTGCCCTTCACTGCTAGGATATGCTTATATGCCAGAGCGACTGCCAGCTGTATGTAGAATACATCTTCCCAGCGCTGAAAGAATTACTGCCAAACTTCATTATACAAACACCACAACTACCCAAAGAGCCTTGTGTGCACACAGAAAGAGTGGGGGAAGATAGCATTTTGCCATGACATACATTTTTATTGAAGTAGTCAAGAGTCATATGACTTTCCAGCTGGCCTTTGGGATAACCACAGCATTAGCTTTGACAGTGACACACACACAGTACATCAGTTTATGTTTAATTTGGTAGCATAGTATTATAATTGTCTGTCATATAGATCAGAGGTTGACTGAAACAAACAATGGGGCAAATCCTCAGCTGAGGATATGCCCCCATCTGTAGCTTTAAAGTAATCTAAAGCATTCTGAAATTGACCCTTGCAGTTTCAGCAAGTTCCTTGCCAAAAGGAGCTGTAATCACAAGATATTTCAAATAGTTAGGACAATGCTTCCTTTTTAAATTAGGAATGTAATTAATAAGAAATATCTAACTAATAATTTACAAACATACAAACACCTTGTTATTTTATGCTAAAAAAAGATGATACAGTCAATTAGCATATTGAACAGCCAAGGTGAAGTGAAAATCTTTATGGTGACCCTGTCCAAATAGTTATAAGGACTAAATGACCAAGAAGTGTGATAAACAGTTTAGCAAGTAGATAAACTGAAATGATTTAACAGATAAAGTGACCTTACCGACCTTATCACTGATGTGTGGGATATAAACACAAATTGGTACAGAGACATGTACAGCTGTTTTGTCTTATTGTTTCATTACCATCAAAATTATTGGTGTTGAACCAAGAAAATGGGTCAAGTAAGTTTACATTGCTGCATAATGACCAACTAAACAACTACACAATTACCAAGGAATGTCATGAGACTCTCTATAAATACAGGAGTTTGAAAGTGGGTATCTGTGCAGACTTCTAAATATGCTGATGGAGAAACTGTGGCCTGGGAAAGAAGGTGGTGCTGTGCAAAGTTGTTCAAGATACACCGCAAGGGGAACCTACAAAAGCAGTTTGTGGAAGCAGATTGCTGACTGGAGCCTGGACTAACAATTGTCTTAAAAGAGTATCACACTAAAGGCACAATTGGTGGCAAAGGATGTTGCAAGCTGATATATGTCCTAAAATGTATAGTGCAAACTGGTATGTCCCAAGCTACTTGTCTGGTTGGATGTTTCAGAATGTCATCAGAAATGAGCAAAAAGAAAAGGAGTACTTGTGGCACCTTAGAGACTAACCAATTTATCTGAGCATAAGCTTTCGTGAGCTACAGCTCACTTCATCTGATTCAGCTGTAGCTCACGAAAGCTTATGCTCAAATAAATTGGTTAGTCTCTAAGGTGCCAAAAGTCCTCCTTTTCTTTTTGCGAATACAGACTAACACGGCTGCTACTCTGAAACCTATCAGAAATGAGGTTTGCTTTCTAATTAGCCCACATCAACTTTACCTGGAAGAGGAGCCAGGCCCCATGGCTCATCAGAAACTGTACAAAACAGCTCTGTTCAGCAATTTGCTCACAGAAACCGAAACATCTGGATGAGATTGCATGAGAGCGGGACTGTCATCAGGTGGCTACTGAGAGCACCCCCTCTCTGCTAACACCTGATGTCTTGGGAAACAAAAGATGGGAAATAAATGGGCATTCAGCACCTAGGTGCTTTTGAAAATCCCGCTAGGTGCTTATCTGCATCTTTAGGCTCCTAACTATCTTTAAAAATCTGGCCCTAAGTCAACAAGTAACTGAGAATGTCGAGGCTAGAAGAACTCATTGCACTGAGCAAAGTATTATTTGTAACAGGAAATCATGCCTGGGTACAGCAAAGATGCCTCTCAGAAAGATTAAGAGCATGTTAAAGCAATCAGCCTAGGTGCTTGTCCACACAGAGACCGATGGTATGTCTACACTACGCAGACTATAGCACCACAGCCTCGTCATGTAATCCAGCCTACAGCGACAGAAGGGGTTTTTCTGCTGGTGTAGGAACACCTCCTCCCCAACCAATGCTAGTGATGTTGATGGAAGACCTCTTCCATCAACTAGTGGCGTCCACGGGGGTGGGGGTGGGGGTATGTCGGCATAGCTATGTCCATCAGGAGTGTGGTTTTTTTCACTGACATAGCTATACTGATGTAACTTTTAGAACCAGGTCTTCATGCATGGCAAGCTGGGGTGTAAATCCACAGGGTACAAGCCTGCTGTGTAGTAACCGGCTGTATGGACCCTGCTACCGTCCATTAAAAGTTCTGCAGTGTGCTTTGAACTACTGCTGTTTGACACACGCAGCAAAAAGAGTGCATGGCAGCTGTGTCCACACACCCAGTTGGTGAGCAGCAGGCTAGTGCCATTGTAGATTTATACCCCAGTTTACCGTGCACTAAGTCGTCATGTGGAGAAGCCCTAGACCATCTTTTGCAGTCACAAGAAACTGACAACTTCTTAGAGAAGAGAAAAAGAATTTTGAATTGTCTAGTTAAGCTCAAGACTTTTGCCACCGCTGAATATTTGGTTAAAGGGTTTACAGTATTTGTGAGCTTCCAGAGAAATTACAAATAGCTTTAAAATTATTCCATGAAACATATATGTGGGATTTGGTGCATTATAATATTGAATATGTGCATAATGGAAAGAGTTTAGCTATGAATATCACCAAGGCAAAGCAATTTTTAATCAAATTGACTTTGATACGTAACTTGTTCAAATTTCTATATTCTAACTCTAGAGAGATTTGGTTGAACTGCCATGGGCAGTCCCATAATCCCATTGACACATAAGCATATTGGTAGATTGATAAGGATCTTTACTTAAGCATCCATAGTTCCACAGTGGTAGTCACATGGTGAGAATAGTGTAAATTTAGGATAAAGTTTGTCCATGTAACAAGACTGATAGGACCTTGAGTTAACTGAGTCTCAGAGATTAAAGCCAAATTGTCAGAAATGTAAACTAATTTTGGGTGCCCTCTTTGAGAAAACTAGTGCCCAGTTTTTCAGAGTACTCCGCATGAATTTATTTATTTGATTGGTTATCTTGTGATACATTGTAACATCCCATGTTGAAGTTCCTTTAAATGCTACCGTCTTTATTTTACTTTCCGTAATTTCTTATTTGTTTTTTAAATTTTGTTTTGGCAAACACATTTATAAATTTACATTAGTTCTCCAGTTTGTAGTTCAGGAACAGAATGGACTGTGGGAAACTTGGTGGATAATTAGTTGAATTAAGTTACTTATCCTGTGTGTCCTCTAATGCATTTCTTTCTCCCAGGGGCAATTGGTTATTTGGTGGTGGTGTGGGGATTGTGTGTGTGTGCGTGTGTGGGGGATTAAATGTAAGTGGCTGTTTTGCCAAGATTTGTGGAGGGATTGATTGGCATGGTGCATTTGTTTTGGCTATGGCTGAGAGGACGTTCTCCTGGCTGAGGGGTATTAACTGGACTTCTTTTCCTTCTTGATGGTATTTTAGTTTCTTTGTTGCTGGGATATGTTTTGGCACTCTGACGGAGTTTCAAACTGTCAGTTTTCAGGCAGTGGCAGAAGTGACTGGATCAGGGTTTGGTTTTTGGCTAGCTGGGATGGGTGGTTTTCTGGGTGAGGGGCTGGCTGGTTCCTTGCTACCATCCACATCTCACAAGAATGCTAAACATGCCTATCTGTGTCTCTACATGGCTCTGATTCCCCAGCTAGCTGCCTGTCACACTCTCTGTCGGTCTTTACAGAAAATGTCACATCTTCCTCTCCTGTGCTGCCCGATGATCATTCCCACTAGTCAGCTGGCAATGCAGAAGAAGCAGGTAATGCAGTAAAGGGAAACATGAAGGTCTAAGGCCCAACTCCAGTCACCTAGCCACAGCTTCTCAGGGAACTCTGTGGATAACTTTTGGATGGTTTCCCAATTCAAGGGTTGGAAATCCTTGCTCTTGTGGGGAAGCTGGGCGACTGTTTTCTAGGTCTCTCTGAAAATATATTTGCCTTTCCGGTCCAGATTGTTGCTGAAGCAGATGGAGAACCAAAGGAATGAAGTTAAAATCATCCCATAAACCTAAGGAATCAGAGAGGCAAAGAATTAAATATCAGTACTGATTGTTGGATATTACTTCACCTGAGTGCAAAGGTACTGATACACACATCAATACTGAAAATAATTCACAGGTATCAATGAGCTACTGTATCAGGCTGTTGTATACACAAAGAAGTTACTTTACTGTGAATTACAAAGGTTGAAATTTCAACAGAGAGGGAGAGAACAATATCATGATTGAGGCACTTGACTGGGACTCAGAAGATCTGGATTCAATTACTGCTCTGCCACAGACTTCCTGTGCGACCCTGGGACAAGTCACTATCTGTCTGTGCCTGAATTTTCCATCTGTAAAATGGGGATAATGGTACTTCCTTTCTCCCATCCTCTGTCTGGTCTGCTTAGACTAAGTTATTTGGGGCAGAGACTGTGTAACATACAGCAACTAGCACAATGGGGCTCTCATTTCAGTTCCAATACCGTAACATCAGAAGTGAGAATAAGTCAGGAAATGCAAGGTTCAGATTCCCACAACCAAGTTAAGTCTGCTCCTGTGTGTGAACAGTCTGTACTACAATAGTCTCTGATTGAAAAAAATCTCAGTATGTACTGTTTGGAGTAATACAACATACATCACATACATATGTGCCTCTGCGTATTCAAAGGAATGAAGTTCCTTTGTTCTGTAGTATACTAATTTGTTGCATGGTACATCACGTTGCCCAGAACTGTGTGATCATATAATTGAAGGCTGCATCAGAACCTACATGGGCAACATATCAGAAGCCAGGTTGCTGTGGGAATAATGGTGGCTGTAACAATATGTTCCTTATAAAAGTTTGCCTTAATATGAAAGTGCCTCTTTGAATGTATAGTTTGATTTTTGAACATTTATGAACAGCTCATTGGTAGCTGGAAGACAGCAACACCTGCAGTAACTAAGGCAGCCACTGTACACTTCTCTTTGCATCCTGCAATCATAATGGTAAAAATGTTTTAGAAATAGACTAGGCTCCTCCCACCATATTCTTCAAAACCAGTCTTAGTTGATAGCTGCCATTTCACAGCTATGAAATAAAAACCACAACTTTCTTTCAGTAGAGTTGGAGTGAGATTTTCCTATACCCAAACTGTGAAAACACTACCCCAAATATTCCAAGATGTGACACTGATGTATAATGCATCTGGTATGTCTCATGCATACTTCCATGGGAGGAGCTAATCTACACTGAGAATCAATATAACCACTGTAATATTAGTGCTAGAATCCTATATTCCTATGTAATTCTATGCATCAGGAAATACCCTGCATGGAATTGTTATAGGTCAGATTGCTTAGCAGCTGTTCCCAACATAACGATAAAAGTTTAAAACAGAAATGTTGCACACTAACCTTTATGATTTGCAATTTTAGGGTTATGTTTGTATTCTAATTGGCTGAAGTAGAAGGGTTTTCTCAGCCTATCAGAATTCAGCAGGTCAGGCATCATCTGCTCCTGTGCCACGATTTCATGTGCCATCTTCCCGCAATAGTATGAGAGTTCTACCCACTGCTGATCTTCCATCCTCTGACACAGCAATTCAGAGGAGAATAGCTAAGACTAACACCTTGGGCAAGTCAGTGAACTTTAAAAAGGGCAAATATTTATTCCATCGGTATTGAAAGACAAACTGATATTCAATGCAGGAGTTGGCAGGCAGGTGTGATTCACTTTGTGAACTCTTGCTGCTTTCATACAGCGTTCACAGTCCAGGCGAGCCCTGGAGTGTATTACAACCATGGATTTAGGTCAGAGTCATCCACTCATGTCTAGCAAGTTAGCTATAACAACTCCGCATTGCACAGTGAGCCTCGGTAGATTTAAGGGCGATCGGGACAAGTCTGAAACCAACTATACGCACAGAGCTGGTCAGAAAAATCTTGCTTCAGTAACTGAAGTTCAACTCGAGAGCTATTAGAGCACGTGGAACTTAATATTCTGTACATGGAACAGGTCTGAAGGTCAGTATTCTCCTCTGGCATGTCTTATTACAAGTGCAGGACCTCCGTGTAAAAGTAATTAATGTATGTTGTGTCTGCCAAGCGGTGACTAGACACAAGAACAGGCTTGTTCTATTAGCAGCATTTTCCAACCATTGGCCAGATGCACCATGCCTGCATATCTGTAAGGCAGTGGGTTCCCATCTCAGCTGCTCATGCACCAATAACACTCTCCAGCCACAGGATTCCTCTGCCCCTTCTTCTACAGGACTTCAGTGTTATTCAAAAATAAATAACTGTTCAGCACACGAATCACGTCTTTTCTCCTGACCTGTGGTCTTCTGCAGAGGCCAGTCTACTCCGTACAGGATTACACTTCACAGAATGCCTGGGAGTCAAGACAAGTCTCTGGTTCCTTCTTCCTAGCCTGTTCCCCACAAGATTACACAGGCCATCTGCCAGAGTGTCTCATGAACTGGGTTCTGTCCTCAGCAGCAGCCTTTCTACTCCCTGCAGCTCTCCAGCTCAACTGAGCTACTTGCTGGCTCACCTAATACCAGATGATCTTCAAGTTATCACCTGATACCTGGCCTCGGTGCCTCAGCTGGGAGGCAGCTGACGTCCTGTGTATAACAGGCCGAGCTTCCACAACTTCTTCCTGCAGGAAGCTGCTGTCTTGCATATCTAACAGTAACATCACAGCTGGCTACAACTGCCAATGATTATTTTTTGTAGGAAACTTGATTTTGGGAGATTTTAATTTTTTTAAAGATATTTCCCATGATGAGTTTTCAATTTATACTTTTTTTAAACAACAAAAAATTTGCCATTAAAAAAAAGACATTTTTGGTAAAAGTATCTGGGTTTTCATATAAGTTTTCAAAGAGATCAAACTTTTACCAAAATAATTTTGGTTTTTCCTTTAAAACACTGAAAATTTTTGACCAACATGAACATTTTCTGTGGCAATGTTTCCTTTGGTTGAAAAGATATTTTTGGTCCAAAAATGTTTGATGACAATATTTTGACCAGCTCTAAACACCACAAAGTAATGTTAGATCATGTGGTGGTTAGACCATGGCACATCCTCAGCCACAGGACAAAATGCTTAGACTCGACACCCTAGACAATGGGATTCAAATTCTGAGGAAGCCAATTTCCAGACCTATTCCCCAAGCTCAGCACAGAACCTATGGCTGCCAGGAATTTAGCGAGCTTGTTCCAGCAGAGAACTGGCTGTGATTCCTCAGTCTGACTGGCAGCCTGATTGGATAGCTCCTCCCCTAGTCTCTGTGGTGAATCACATCATCAAGGTTATTTCCTTTGTTACTAAACTCCAGGCTGCTGGCTTATCACCGCCATATCAAGAAACCTGTCTCCTGCACGCAAGGTTTTCAATGTGACCTGCCCTCTCAAGCCACTGAACTGTCCCTGCCTCAGCTTGTTCAGAAAATTAGGGTACCAAAGGACGGAAGGTAGCTACCATGAAGCAGATTGTGATGATCAGCAGCACAGAGACGAAGTCCATATGTTTTTTTAGGAAGTCTTGGATCTCTTGGAGGCAATCCTGAAATGACAGAGATATTCTATGAAAGCACAGTGACAACTTGGAGGAGTTCACCTCTTTTATCCCTGCAGAGGCTTCCCCATCTCTCTCTGCTTGACAGGGTTTATCATCATCATCCCTCACAGCAGAAGCAGTTTCCAAGCCCTGTCTCTTACAGACCCTCTATCGTAGAGACAGCCTCTGTCTAAACAACAGGAATCAGAGTTAGGTTTGCTCTATCCTGCTTTCCTCCTCCTCAACCAGCAGAGAGCTGCAGCTATAGTGCAAATCCTCCTTCTTGACTTTACCTGTCACTGTATGCGGCATGAATTCTGGCACCAGTGCTCTGCTGCAGATTGTGTTATACTTTGAGACACGGAGCCTTGGCTTGGTAGTGAATGGGGTCTATGTCTCCCTAGTTCTGTTGCCCTACTGTGCTCTCCACAGTCAGTTCCTATAGTACACCTGCCGTTGCAGTGATATTTTTGGAACTGCGCCAGGTAAAATATATTTCAAGATTTCTGGGGAGTGTGTGTGTGTGAGTGAGTGAGAGAATTTTGGAAAGAGGGGAAGAAAAAAGGAAGATGGAATGGAGGCATGTGAAATGCAAAATAATGTTTGTCGCAGGTCTTCTAACATGCTGTGCTTTAAGTCTGCAATGCGATGCTAGTAAAGGGCTCAATCCTGCAAGATGCTGAGCACTCCGGCTGGAACTAGCAAAAGCACTTAAGCTCAAGCTTAATTTTAAGCATATGAACAGTCCTACTGAAGTCTGTGTGTGAGTGTGAGTGAGAGACAGACAGACAGAGGGACAGACTATTCATATGCTTAAGGTTAAGCACTTGCTTAAATGCTTTGCTGGATCAGGCCAGAGTACTCAGAACCTTGCAGAATTGAACCCAAAGATAAAATGAGCCGCAGCTGCTATGACACAAGATCACTTCCTCCCTTCCCATACATTCTACAGAATGCATCACTGCAGTTTATCTCCCTTTACCATCAGCCGGAGTGAATTCAAAGCATAAATCGCCACGTAAGCACCCTGCTCCTGCACTACCAGGCAGCAGACACATTTCTTCCCCTCACTTCTTTTCCTGTAGCCCTATTATTACCAGTTGCAGTCTGTTTTGAAAGTTACACTTCAGAATTCAGTTTTCAAAAGGCGGACATACCAGAAAGGTTGCTATCCCATAATACCCTGAATCATCATGAAATTGTCCCAGGTCCTGCAAACTGACAAGCAGGATAATTAGAAGTTCTGAATTTATACAGTCTGCGTTAGGACATTGCACTCTGACAGGTTTCAGAGTAACAGCCGTGTTAGTCTGTATTCGCAAAAAGAAAAGGGAGCTTATGCTCAAATAAATTGGTTAGTCTCTAAGGTGCCACAAGTACTCCCTGACATTGCACTAATACATCATGTCTTTGCAGAACCATAGCAACACAATCATTTTGTCTCCTAGGACAAATACACATATTAAGACGGCAACTTTCATTAGTACAACTGGTCAAATAGAGAACAAAATTACACAGTCCAGGCAAATCTATTGGGAAAAATCCAAGTTACAGTCTCGCAGCCGAGATCATCTGGTATTGGTTCTGTTTATTTGCTTTCTCAAAAAAACTGAAGAGCTTACTGAAAAGTGGTTTAGGCCCTTGAATGGAAAAAAACCCAGGTTTCTGGGTTCCTAGAAGCTGGGTATTTCCCAGGGAATTCTTAGTAATTCTCTAATACCCTGGAAAAGGGCAGTATGTATAATTTACACATGAAAATCTGCATGCTCAGCTTGTTGCTATCAGCAAGCAAAGTACCTCCAACTTCATAATTTAACTGCAAATAGAGATGTCTGATTGGACCAATGGGCATCTGACATCACACAGAAGCATGACATCATGTGTCCACTGCAAAGTCAGAGGACAAGAAAAGAAGCATCTGAGAAATGACAAATTGAAGAGATCCGGCATTTTCAAGGCTCTCTAGAGCGGCAAACATCAAACCGGGCAAAGGAACAGCTATAGAATTGTATCTGTGGCTCAGGGAACCACCGATCTACTGCAGTTTCTCCTAGCTGCTGTTTTCAGTCAGCAAGACGCCAGTTTGTATTTCTAATTAAAAAAAAATCAATGCCCTTCTTCTAATGGATACATGTGAGGAGGTGTCTCTTGGCAGCCAGTAAGTAGAAGTAGGCGTGATGGCAAGGGACGTGGGCAGTAATCCTTCCTCATTTTATCCCTCAAAAGATCATCATTTCATTCATCCCACCTGGAGTTTCCCTTCAATAGTAGGCAAAAATGCAAGTGAAAATATGGCTCAGAAAGTTCCAAATAGACACAGTCAATGGTGCAATGGAAATGGAGGTCGCTGGTGAGAGCAAGGGGGGAACTGGCTTTGAACTGGGAGCCTGGAGCGCAGGTGAGACGGAAGAAGGTCTTGTCAGTATCTCCATGGAAAGAGTTTGGGAATAATGATCATACTGCTGCTGCACTGGCCCAAAGGGCTATTGGTTGCTGTTTAGACAAAAGACTCAAGTAAATGGTCTGTTGATGGAGAGGCCAGTCAATCCAGTTATCCAGAGGGAAGGAAACAACATGGGAGCCGCAGCAGTTGTAGGGCTGGATTGGGGTTGAAAATGCTGACCAAGGTAAAGAGTGAGACCCAAATTCACTGCTTCTCTGCACCACATGTAGTCATTTAGGTCTTGTCTAGACTGAGACAAAAGGTGCTTTCCCCCCACACTCGAGTTAGGTCAGTTGAGCTAGTTTAAGTAGTAGCTGAAAAGCTAATGGGTCATCCTTGACATCTGACAGTACAAATGGCTCCTGGATGATTCCCTTACCGCTCTGGCTGTGCCCATAGGTTCTGATGGACATGTCTCCTTTTCAATGCCTCCTGTTTCTCCAAAGGGTGACTGCTTTCCACAGCACAGAAACTGAAACAGAAGAAACAAAAACTACATCACTGCCTGGGTTCCTCTTCCCTTACCAACCTTCTCTCTGGCAGACTGCTGCAGGATGAGTTGCATCTGGGGGAGATGAACATTTTTCTCTGTCTTCCTTGCTCTGGGCCAGGATTTCATGATCCCCTGGTTCCAGAGGGCAAGTAGCATTATAAATATATCATTTTAGCAGTTAAGAACATAGGTTAAAACGTCTTAAGGCCTGATCCATTCCCCATTAAACCTGTGGGAGTCTTTTGACTACCATCGGCTTTGTATTGGGCCCTAAATTGTCCATTCACAGAGCCATAAATTAATCTGCCATTCCCTCTGCTGAGAAATCAGGACAGAAAATACAGAGCTAGAGGGAGGAGTCCAGAAACAAATAAGCAGTACTGACCTTCCCCTCTAGTCCCACAGCATGACATTAGATCACTATCCAAACAGACCTGGCTGTGCAAGGATACGGCATTTCCTTTACTCAGCTGTCTAGAGAGGACTCCTGTGTTTCTCTCCATAAGAAACAGTCTCTCTGCCACTGTGTTATCTCATCTTGCACACACTAAACGAAGCAATCCCTAGGCTCTGTGCAATCACATTAATCTACCTACTGCACCACAGAATTGGGATGATAGCTCTCCTTTATACCTACACGCTGCACTGCTAGGTCAGGATTCCTCAGAGCTGCGTGGCTTGCTTTGTCACGTTAGCAGCTTAAAACTTTGAAAAATAAAAACAAAACAAAAAAACAGACATTGTTTGCCCTGATGCTTCCACAGTGGGAAATTTACCTTCAGCTGGCCATATTGTTGAAGTTGTGCCTTCAATCATATTTACATTCTGATTGATTCTGCTATTGATTCTGGAATGGCAACAACAACGTTGGAGGCGGGCTCCTACCTTTCAGCCACCATTAAGGAACCGGCATGGAATGGCAAAGGGACTACACGGTGTGTGGTGTGAAATGCTCTCTCAGGGAGGTGAGATCGCCTCTTGGTATTTGGGTGAAAGTGATGCTCAGAAACCCAGGTCTCCTCAGTGAGAACTGGGTGGGGGTGGCAGGTGAAGGGGGGGAAAATGTCATAATCACTGCACGATGATTGGAAGTCTTTTAATATTTGTAGTACATCATTATCTATAGTCCTATGCAAGTCCTACTAATCCTTTCATCCTGCTGCTAATTCAGCCAGCCAAACCTGGCAGTGCCAAGCTCAGAAAAGAAAAGAAATGGCCACAGGAGAACTGAGCAGGAGCTCTGTGACCTAAGGAACAAAAAACCACTATGGTGTTTGGGAAGTACAGACAATAGAAGAATATAGGCTTGATCCAAAGCTAACTGAAGCCAATGTAAAGACACCCTGGAGCAAGATCTCCTGAGCCTGGATATACCAAGACTGGAAGTAACTTACTGTTTCATGGATGGTAGCTAGTTCCTGCCTCCTGAAGCTGGACAAGTTCCTCCTCACTTCCTCGTACACAGAATCATACACATCCATCATGGCATCTTCTACCTACAAAAAAGACATGTCTGGTCAGACCCCCATCCTGGACAAGTCACTCTCCATTTTGCTAGGCACTGTACAAACACAGAAACTCTCCTAGGCAAAGTGGGTTAGCAAATAAAGCCAGATAGACAGAGGGCTACCTCAGGTCTATTAATGAAACTCAAATATAGACAAGAGGAATTTGAACTGCATTTCTTGTTTTACCAGGAATGAATTTTTCCTACAATTCTAGGGAGGACATTTTTGGAACACCTTCCATGGAATAGACTGCAGCTGTTTCTGGGATTAGTACTAAGAGGTAAATATTCAGTATAATATATGGCACATTACCTGTTTGGTTTCCATTACTACAATTAATTTTAGTTACCTGACTAACATGGAACATGGGTACTGTAGGAATATTTAATTCCTACATTCCCTTCTATGTGACACCATTAAACCATATGAATAAAGGCCTTTTTGTTTTTATACACCAACATTTTTATACTCAAAGTATTTAACTAGCTCTACTACAAGTCTTTTGACAAAATTATTTCCCCAAAACATTTTGAAAAATGTTCACAATTTTTGACCAGCTCTAAGCTGTTTTGTTTGCGTAAAACAGCCTAATTTACTACCATGTAATCCAGAGAAGGAGGATGGTCCAGTGGTTAAGGCACTTTCCTTCTTTACTCTGACATAGACTTCTTGTGTGACCTTGGACAAGTCACTTAGGGCTAAATCCACACAAGAATGCAATGCCTAACTCCTAGGTACCCTGCCACCCAGTGGAATTCACAGCCTGTAATTGCCTTCTGCAGCATGAGGATAACAGCACTTCTCCAACTCACAGGTGTGTTGTGAGGATAAACACATTAATGATGGTGAGATACTAAAACACTCAGATAATGGGTGCCATATAAGTACCTTAGGTAGATAGTTACACCAGCATAACACAAAAGTAACTCTATTCTAAATCAATGGACTTTCATTGGTGTAAAACCAGAGTAATGCACTGATGAATCAGGCCCTAACTATTCACTGAAAATATGAAATCTCATAGCTTCAGAAATCTCAACCAATCTTTGTTCAGCTTTCAAAAGAAAAAAAAATTCTCAATTGGCCTTGGTTCTAGCAGGCAGCTGGTAAAATTCTATTTATTTCTTTCATTTTCTCTTTTTCTTCCAATATTGATCTGAATGGGTCTGAGACCAAATCTTAGCACTTAGAACAGAAAATTAATCAGTGAGACAGACAGCAAGGGGAAGGCGAGGGAACAAGTGCAGCTGGAGCAAACCCATCTCTCAGCAAGGTTTTACATCAACTCTTAAGGGTTCTGCTTAGAAAGTTACTTAGAAAAAGACTATGTGTGTTATTCTTTGCAGCTCAGAGATGAAACAGGGATCAATTGAAAGTGTTAGCCAGCCATTACTGTAACATTATTCCACTTTCCATGGCTGTCCCAACTGCAAAGTCTCTACCAGGGGCTTATAACTAAGGAGGAGGGAGGAGAAGCAAAGATGACTTCATTTTGGCCCTAATTCACAGCAGGTATGGATTTCAGGCTTTTGGTACTGTATCACAATATTTCTCCATAAGTATCAAACAGGGAATAGATATAAAGGGAGTTTGAGACGTCTTTTTGTTGTTACAGGGCCTTTTAAGGAGATTGTTAATTTTGTAGCAATGGCTTCATAGACCTTTGAAAGCAAGAAGTGGTAGAATGAGAGAATTTCATGTGAGCACTGCCACAGAATTCAGAGAGTTGCAGAGGGAATAGCTGGCAATTTGTAGTCCAGTTGGTTGATCCATTGGTTCTAATCCACAGAATACCTCTAATCTCCTTGGGGTGATGGGGCTTTGCTGTTACACACAACATAATCAATTAACATAACAGGTGTGATTAGAGAGAGACCTAGCAATGCACTAGTAAATGGTCTGATGAAGTTACAAAACTGCCAAATGCAGTAAAACAAGCTGCTCCCAGGAAATTAAAAATTGCCACTTGCACCATGGGACACACATTGTGTCTGCCTGTCAAAGACAGAAAAGTTGAGGGAGGTTGGTCATTTTGTGACTTTGGTATTACTACTTTACAGTACTACCACAGTCCTAAGGATTGACTGGCCTCTCCATCAACAGACCATTAACTTGAGTCTCTTGTCTAAACAGCAACCAATTGCTCTTCCTAAGCAAACTGTATATTAGTCCCAGACATGCTACTCTGGAAAGACTAGATTTCAAACAGTGAGTGTAAAGGAAGAGATCACCCACTGGCAGCCTGACATGAGACACTAATTAGTGGCTATATCGACTGTCCTTTACCTGGCCTGCCCTCTAATACTGACTTCTAGAGCTAGTCAAAACTTTTTGTCTACATTCCCCAAATTTAGTGGCCTTTCAACAAAACAAATCCTCATGAAAAGGGTCCTATTTTTGTTGAAAATCAGACATTTGAAAACAAAAATCCTGAAAAAAAACTTCCATTCATTTCCTGACCCACTCTATTAATGTCTTACACTTCTGGAAAAGCCAAAGACGTGAATGAGAGGAGAAGGAAGAGCCATATAAGTCAATTGCTTCTCATGCCATGAAGCGTGTTAACTTTTTCTGAACTTTCCCAAACCAAGTGTTAGACACAGATATAGAACTGGTCTGGGACTACGGTGACCTCTTATTTTTGAAACCTGGACTTTGACTAGCCCTCTGAAGCACATCTCTATGAATTATATTTTTGGGACAGAAAATGTATTTAACTAGATTTGCATAGTCTTGTGTAGGTTTATGGTGCTGTATATGTAATTTGTATTATATACAATAATCATGCTATTTAATATTTATTTATAGGTTAGTAGGTAAGTACTTAATAACTTAGGCCAAGATTTTTTTTTTTTTTAAAAAGGAGCCACAAGTGAGACTTCTAAGAGTGGGATTTTCAAAAGGACCTAATGACTTAAGCACTCAACACCCACTGAAACTCAACTTTAGGTTCCGATATTTTGAAAATCTTGGCTTAATTGTTCTGGAAAGATCCTATCCATGTTACTGACCCGGGAACTTCTGAAAAATCCAGAAGTGTTAATATTAAGATCTAGTAAATATTTGGAGACGATACTTTGGGAAGTTTAGTTAATTCTGAGGCTTCCAGTTTGGGTGGATGTAGTCAATCATTGCCTCATCCAAAACCCATTAAAGTCAATGGAAAGACTCTTAAATTATTTTTGGATCAGGTTCTAAAGCTGCTAGTTGTTTACCTTAGTGATGAGTCAGTGTATCCTGAACCATCAGTGAGACGAGAAACCATGAACTGATGCTTAGATTGCACGGATCATTAAAGAACTCCCCAACTCTCTCTGCACCTCAGGTGACAATGGAACAATCTGTGACCAGACCATAGTTATTTTCCAGAAGAGTGGCATTATGCAGGCAGCTCAAAAGTAACATTGACATTCATACACATTCTGTACTGGTGATGAACTTTACCCCTAGAGTCCTTTTCAGAATGTCATGCACTCATGCCGCATGCAAACAATTCTAGCATAGAATAAGTGCAGCAGTCCAGATGTTCACAGCTATTTGTTGCTGAACACATTGTACAGCTGCTGCCACGTTGGCTGGTACATGATGGTCACAGCTGCATAGAGAACGGATTCATTCTTCCTCTAAAGCACCATGTCATGGTTTGTATCGGAGGCACTATATAAACCCCAACAAAAAGGAGCTGTGTTAGGGTAGGAGACTGTTTAGTTACAGACTATACCATTACTGGACAAGGAGAAATCAATCACTTGACACCTTGCTCCTGTAGCTGAAAAATTTGTTTGCAATTGGTCGTGCAGTTGAGCTTTGAAAAATATCAGTCCTGCGTTGCTGTTCCTATCCAGCTCAAAATGGGATGCAAACTCTTAGATGTGAAACTTCCCCTCTAAGGAAGATATAGTGTAAGAACAAAAATAAAAAAAAATAAACAAAATGCGACTCAAAGAAAATGTGAGATTGAGACACCACACCGAAATTCTGTACCCACTGATGTCAATGAGAGTTTACTGATGTAAATGGAGCCAGAGTTTCACCCCTGGATTTTTCTCAAGCAAGGAGCGATGGATGCTGGAGAACTAGTTTGCTTAATTTCCATTGCACTGTTCTCTCTTGATCCCTGGATTCGTGGTAGTGGGACAGTTGCAATGAAGGGCAGTAATTGGTCCATTACATTACCTTAAACTTAATGATTAGCCTCCTTCGGTTTCCCACTCCAGGTGCTGAGAAGTCAAGGCAGTCACTCACAGTTCAGCAAACAGGATGCCTTTTAATGTCCTATTTGAGTGGTTATGTTCATATTGTTAGTAATGTGCTTTAAGAAAAACACAAATGTGCTAACCGCCTTGACACAGACTGGAGATGCCATAAAATGGATTGATCAATTGGGAGAAGAGATCCCTGGGATGGATTTGTATCAGCCTTTATTCTAAAGGCTTCAAAAAGCACACACATCAGCACAAGTGGGGTCAGGTCACTTTCTAGATTTCTCACTGCAAAGAGGTACATGTTATTGAAACTTTCTGCACTTTCAGACTTGCCACTCTCCAAGATTCCCTCCCATCCCTGTGTCCCTCAGGCCTGATCAGGCTGCCCCAGTGAGCAATATGTTTAAATACAACTGGGCTTTTACTCTGCCTAGAAATTTTAGAGTTTAAGTTCTTTGTCTCATCTAGAGACTAAATCACATCCTTATCTATTACTTTCTCTAAGTCAAAAATTGCACCTTCCCAGTCTTAAGTTAGTTATAAAGGAGGATTTTATCTTTAGGTAAATTTGGAATATATGTATTAGACAAAACTGTCTACCTTCTTGGTTTACCCACCCCGTCATGCCAAAGATTGTCAAGGGAAACTGCCTCTGAACATCAGTATTTAGGCAACCTAAGCAAGTCAACTGAAGGCTTATTGGAAAGGTCAAATGTGTTTAGAACAGCACCAAGAATGGTTCTAGCCTAAATTTAGCTAACACATTCAGCAAAGATTGTTTAG